GGCCGAGCTCAGGCCCTGATGGATAATATCGACACCTTTATCGAGGTAAGCGGTTCAACCTTTTCCCACCCACTGAAGCTGGAGCAGGGCTCTTTTTATTTATTTATTTTTTTTGGAAAGCTCAGGTTTTCCATTTGACTTTTGTTCAGCCTTGAAACATCCAAAATCTCACAATCCAAACACTTGGGCTGGTTTGTTTGCCGCTAACTAGCTAACCTTCCTTCACAACAATGTCATAACTGCCCTGGTGGACATTCTAGGGTTGTAAGAGAAGTACTATGTTGGCCTGGAAAAGGACTGGAAATGCTCAGGATTGCACATACTGTCTTCTGATGGAGGACATTTTTAGGGCATTTTCTGTTTAGACTTTAAATCAATAAGGTCTGATTTGACACCACTGTAAACATGATCTATTCTAACAACCAAGGTCAACACAGAAAGGGATTAATGAATCATTTATGTTGAAATGTAGCTTGACGGTACTCGATAAAAGCAGCAACGCTTTCACCCAGTCAGTCACATCTCGCTGTTACACCTCTGAGGTTAAAATTAGTTTGACGCTCCTCAGTGTGAGCGTGCGTCGTGCTGCAGTTTATTTTGCTTAATGACCGATCAGGAGATTCATGTAACTGCTCTCCAGTTTTAGAGGAGCCCTGTTGGTTTCTGAGCACTGTGAAGAGGCAGGGTTTTCTGGTTGGGTACATGGTTTTAGGGATGTCCCGATCCAGCTTTTTTCCCTTCCGATCCGATACCGATCCCGGCCTATCAGAGCATGTGTTAAAGTTTAAAGTTATTTATCTACTTACTTAGTTTTCAGACTCATGTTGAACAGGGATTTACTCTGATAACAACTTAATGGTTAGGACACAGACCTGTAGGTTAGGAGATGCTAATGCTAATGCTCGTGTGAGATTGGACCTTTAAAAAAACTGGATCTGGAGTCTGGATCTGCATTTTCTCCTTCTGGCCGATACACAGTTTTTTGCAAATATCGGCGGCCGATCGGATCCAGATATCGGATCGGGACCATCCTACATGTATCCATGAATGCATCAGTTAGTTATACCGGCTTTGGTTCCTTTTTATAAAGGAAAGTGATTCTCCTTAAAGTTTCTGTTGTTCTTGAGGCGTCATCTTCTCAGTTTGGCTGCTACGGGTCTGCTGAGTGGTGCAGAGGACAAAATTCAGCAGGGTCCTACCAGAAGTGAAGTTTAGACTGAAGTTATTTCATAGCCTCACAGTTTTGATTCTGCAGACCTCCACACGCATCAGTCCTTCTGCTGCTGGACAGCCTCCCCTCAGGCCTCAGACAGGTGGCAGACCAGTTAAAGCTTTCGCTCTGTTAACTCATTGACTGCCAGCCATTTTCAGAACAGAGTCCCATACTGCCAGAGTTTTTTGAGCATTTTGACTGATTTTTCGAGAGCCACAGAATAGTTTGTGCTATCACTATGTCAACACCGAACACACCAAAAGAAAGAGTAGACTCTCTTCTTTCATCAGGAAAAAAATTTGTTTCTACCTTATTCCGTTCTTCCTCGACTTGCGTCTCACCGGCGCCATGTTCTCTCATAGCGAACCGTTACCTTTTTCTTATTTGCCTACAGTCTATGCTCATCTCCCATCAAAAGTGGCACTGCCCCCTAGAGGGTCAATTTGTTACTACACACTCTGTCTAAAAGCCTGATATTTACGGACAAGCTTTAGCAGATCGTCCCCCAGCCACTCTCGATGAAAAACATAAA